ATCTATACATGTATATTTGGACATGATTAATATTTATACATGTATATTTGTACATGATTAATATCTATACATGTATATTTGGACATGATTAATATTTATACATGTATATTTGTACATGATTAATATCTATACATGTATATTTGTACATGATTAATATTTATACATGTATATTTGTATATGATTTATATCTATACATGTATATTTGTACATGATTAATATTTATACATGTATGTTTATACATGATTAATATTTATACATGTATATTTATACATGATTAATATCTATACATGTATATTTGTACATGATTAATATTTATACATGTATGTTTATACATGATTAATATTTATACATGTATATTTATACATGTATATTTATGCATGTGTATTTATACATGTATGTTATTTATACATGATTAATATTTATACATGTATATTTATATGTTGTTGGCTCGTAGATAATAAAATATCATGATTGTGTGCACATTCACAATAAAAACTTGCTCTGATGGAGCAATGCTGTAATCTTCAGAATGAACGCAGCATTCATCCACAGTCAACACATGGTAATGGCAGAATCACTCATGCTCTGTAATGGTTACAACCTCACCGCTCTCCCAGATTGTATTGCTTGTCTSTCTGTGTCCTACCACAAAACGAAACAAAACAAAACGTCTGATTGTCTGAAGCTAAAACAAGCAAACCTGTAAATAAAATGGTGCGTTCAAGTCCAGATGTCAAAGTTCGACCACTCAAAAGTAGCTGAATAGTTCATGGTTTACTCATGAATCGAAGAAACCAAATAAAACAGAACAAGTTTCTGAAAATTAATCAGATCTTTAAACTTCTGATATAACCTTTTCATATGTATTTAGGTAGCGCAGATGGGGTAATTTTAATTTCTAGGTTTATTATTTTGGCACACCGAAACGGATGTGTTTTCAAATGTACGATTTTTAAAAAATTGACTTGAACGCAGCATTACGTCAGCACCTGACCGGCCCACGGCGGCAGTCATTTTGTTTTAGTCGGCGCGGCTTCGAGAATCAACGCTYTGGGACGTCGTCTGTATTTCTAAAACGTAAAATTTTATTATTCAGTTGAAGTTTAGTAGATGGAGTTGTATTTGAAGTGTATGTCCTGAGTGTGTTGCATTTTATTGCGTTACACCAMGGAGGTGAATACCGCAGTCATTTCTTCGCAAACAGCCATCTTACTGTAACCAGAAAGTCTCGGCCTGTAGCATTATGCTAAACTAGCTGCTAACTCCTGTAAAGTATCCACACCCCTTTGGTTTGTTTGATTGTGTTTTTAAGGTTCAGATTCGTCAGATAGCTGAWGTATTATTTTCCAGTCGGTATAGGTTTGTATTTTTGTACATTTTTCACCACTGGGAATCACTAGTACTTTTTGTTCCAGCTAGCTGTGAAGCTACAGTAAGTATGTGATTGTTTTCTTCATGGCCTTTGTTTTAAACAAATAATCTCCATTCAGGATCAGATACTGTCGGAAACAGGAAGTTTATTATTTTGAATAGCTGCTTCCTTTGTTTCTATCAGTTTTTAATAATTTTAGAGGGGATCATTTTTAGGCCTCAGTATTTTTATTATTTGGATTCACAGATTTAAGGATCCTAAAACAACCAACATGAAAACTGGAGTGTTTCCAGTCAGTCTTCACTATAACAACCATAAAGTGTCTGTGTTTAAGAACCAGCCTAAACCTGGACCTCCAAACATTTTATTTGGGATCAGATAGGATAGGTACAATATATGAATAATATATTTAGCAAAGTAAAAGAGTTTGTTGCATAGGTCTGTTGTATACAGATGTACTTGCTAAGTGATGGTTTAGCTGGTTTGGCTCCACATCAACAATCATGATCTGTATTTATGAGACATGAGTTGATCAACAATTATTCTGCAGCCATGTTTTATGAATTTTTGGATACATTTTCTCCAGACTGTAAGGCCAGTTATGGGCAGAAATTGGAGGTTTGTGGCTTGAAAACATACAGATACAGACTTCCAGTGACAGCCCAGTACAGAACATAACTGGACTGTGAGGCTGCACAACATGCATATAGAGATATTTTCAGATAAAATGAAAATTGAGAAAATGAATGTCTGGTTTTTAACATGTTGAAATGGTATGTTCGTCTGTGTATTAACCCATTTTCAGTCTCCGGGGAGTGTTTTTCATTGATCTGTAGGTTTAAAACCACGCTCCCTGYCTTCTCTGGGAACCCCTGGACATGGATAGTTTGTCCATATGAGAAGGCTTTGGCAGAAGATTTTTTTTTTACTCTTCAGCATTGTTAAACAACAGCTGAAAACCACTAGAAGCCCAGATACCCTGCCCCGTTTTTCCCTCACTGCCAGCTAACACCCAAACGTCACCAAGTCCTTGAAGAAGATGAAGATTTTTTTCTCACCCTTTGGCTCTTCAGTTTAAGCTTTTTTATTTTTTTCTTGTCTGGCTGATTATCTTTCCCAGTTAATTAGTTTTATTATTCATATCAGTTAATTAAAAAAAAAAACAAGAACAAAGGACTATTGCATCCAATATGGGTATTATAGCAGTCCACCGGAGATAAAGATGTCTCAGAGGGTCTCTGAAAAAGACCACTTTCTTTGGGCGACCCACCCCACTTTTCCTCTTGTCTCATGGATGAAGTGTTCCTTCAGGACTCCATACTCTCGAGGAGAAACCCCACCAGCTGTGAGGGAGACACCTTCTTATCCACCTCAGGTAAACACTACAGACACTGTCAAAACACCTGRCTGCTTCATTTTTCCTTTCACAATGACCAACCCTTGAAAAGGCCTGTGACGTCAAATTTTTGCAATAAATATGAATGCATTTTTGGAAAGACAACGTCGATAACATATTGCAAAAATAATTTTACTCTGCTGAGAYGAAAAGTTGTTGAGATATTTGCCTGTGAAGTAACAGGAAGTGATGTCAAAAGGAATTGTCTGCATGTAAACACAGCGTTGCTACAAGGCTAACAACACAGACTGAGGAGAAAAATCTGATGTTTCTGTAGAATATTTTGAGTCACTAACAAAGAGATGACGAGTCAGAGTTCAAATTGTATTGTTACAATAAAATAAAAGAAAAAAGTTTAATTTCTTAAAAAATTCCCCTTTGATGTTTCCTGTTTCACTTTGGCTGAGCCAAAGAAAATCTGCCACATTTGTGACAAAATGGGTAAAATTGTATTATGGCAAGTTTCTTAAATATAAAGATGTTTGTTTTGACTTTTTGTGTTTGAGTGAGATGCATGTCACAGACACTTTAAAGGGGCTTATCTTGCAAAATCCACTTCTTTAGCTGTTAATAGTATTCTGTTGTGAACTTGGAGTCTCTGCAGAAAAGCTGAATTCAGTGTCTCCTGGTGCTGCAAAGATATCTTTATATTCTGTTTGGCTCAGATTTTTCATCCTGTTCAGTTTTCTTTATTTTCTGTGATGTTTTCTGAGTCTGTTACGTCAAATAATCTGTGACAGAACTGCCAAATAAGGTCTGGACTTACCAACTACAATTATGTCGTCTTCATTCTCCTCTGGCTCTTAGACTCTTTGTAGTTCCATTTTATAAAGGCCCAAATGAATGATTTAAATGKGAAAAAGAAGGATTTAAACARGATATGTYTACTGTAAAATGTTCCTGATTCTTTGGTTCTACTCATGCAGTCACTAAAGAACTGTTCATTAATGAAATACGTGTGTCTGATATGTCTTCAGGGTGAGTCCTGTTGTCCCTGAAGACGACCAGCTGACAGGTCACTTCCATCATTTAATCCACAACCAGCTATGACCGACCATGGAGATGACTGCTACTTCTATTACTACTCTACCTGCTCTAAGGTCAGCGTTTGAGTCACACGCAGCTCTGAACACACACACATACTGTATTCATTTTGAACCCATACACTGATTGTGCTTCCTGTATGATCCAACCTGACAGGGTGACAGCTGTCCATTCAGACACTGTGAGGCAGCCAGGGGCAATGAGACCGTCTGYAACCTCTGGCAGGAGGGATGCTGCTTCCGCTCAGTCTGCAAGTTTCGCCACATGGAGATCACAGTAAGTCAGAGTCAAACACTGCTGTTAATTAAAAATATATCACAAACCAGGGTGGGCACAATGTACCCTCAAAACCATATAATACCTCAAGAAAATAGGCTATAATAGGAATGCACGATATAAACGATATAMGGTAGAAACGATATAAATTTGTCCTATGATAGAGATCTGTAGTCTACTGGCCAACCGCACAATTCTTTTTGATGATGTAACCGGCTGGAGTCAAAACAGAGGAAGCRTGRCTGAGAGYGCAAAWGAAGAGGGGAAAAAACTTAACCGGACCTGGTTCTGGTGTGTGAAAATGAGCGCCGAACTGTTTACATGTTTATGTGACGGCGCGCCCTCCGGTCGGATGCCGACCGACCACACTGCCTGTAGCTAGAGGAGCGGACGCCGCGGCATGTGTGAAGGGCTCGACACACGGGAGGTGACGTCGCTCGTTCTCCATTCATTTCCACGCAGCGAGGCGACTGTCAGTGCAGGTGAAGTCAGTGCTCAGGTGGGACGCACAAAAMTCAGTCTGGACCTCGTTTCTCCTGCGGTCATAGCACGACCCACGGCCAAATGCGCGCGCACTCCAAAGCGCGACTATAATGATTGTCACCCCGCTGGAGCGCGCACAGATTAAACAGGTGGAGTGCAGAAAAAACAATCTGCAAAGTGTGTAGAAAGGAATAAATACAAATTGTTTTACCACCTTAAAACGAAGCAGGTGATTCCAAACACTACATCCAGTTAAAGTTATTGTGTGTGTG